ATCAATGAGTCCTCCCTATGTATGTGTGTCTACACGTATATTCAAATTGTTATACACAGTGAGATGTGACATCATTTTTCGCATTTTCAAAGGGCTTAGATGGATATATTGGCCTCACATTCTCAACTATTATGATATTAGCTGCATACCAGGTCTTTTTAACAGCATCATTCAGTCTCTGTCCAGTTATCAAGCTGCTATGATGTCCCATATAGGGTAGCTTGATGTACACGTCTTTCTTAGGGGCGAGTTGGAGAGGGGGTCTTGGTATTCTGACCACTTTATATCTCCTGATGAACTTGTCTGGATAATTGTTATCAACCAGTGTTTGTGTCAACTTTCTTTCTTCCGCATCAGGTGTGTCTTCAGTGCATATTCGTTGGATTCTACTGAAGAGGCACCTTACTAAGGCTCTTTTGTACTGAACAGGGAAGAAACTGTGGTAATTAAGATACTATCCTGTCCACGTAGATTTTCTATAAATAGATCGTTATACTGACCTATCAAGCCGTCGACTCAGCAACATATCTAGATAAACAATTATCTTCCCCTTCTACAGACTTAAGCAATATGCTATTCTGAACTTCATTCATTCGATTTAAAATTGAGGTGACAGAATAGGGCTTATCACTTAGGATTACAATATCATCTATGTACCTTCGATAAAGTGGCACCTTTTTTGATTAAATCCTCCGATAAACTCTCAATCTGCTATAAGGAGCGCCAACGGACTTCCCATAGCAACACCATCAACCTGGAGGAAACAGTCGCCTTCAAATGTAAACCTAACATTGCTAGTACATAGAAGTAATAAATCCCTTAAATAAGATAAAGGTAATGGGATGAAAAAATTGTGTGTGGAAATGTACTCACATAAAATGTCAACTGTTTTGAGTAAAGGCACATTAGTGAATAAAGAGTTTACATCAAAAAAGTATATATTCTCATTCATAATATTAATATCTTCAAGAAAATTACCCAATTCAAATGCATCTTTTAACACATGCTTACAGAATTGTGTTTTAACTGGATTCAATAATTCTACTAACCACTTAGCAAGTTTATGCGTTGGGGATTTGCACATTGACAATATAGGGCGTAGAGAACTATTGGGTTTATGTCTTTTTGGTAAACCATACATATGTGGGAATTTACATTCTGATGGTTTTATAGAGTCAAATTTATCTCTACTTATAGCATTTAGGCCATGAAGCTTCACTAGATTAGCTGTCACTGTGCCCTGCAACAACTGAATATCCGAAGAAAATAAAAGACAAATTCAACGAAGAAAATTTCCTTTATCGACGAGGCTGTACAGTCGCATTTATGCTTACCAAAAATGTATAGCGGCCTATTATTAAGTAATAGGGGGTTACATAATTGATATAATTACTCGGAAGTGGCTTTAGAAGTAAAAATTAAAAGCTTTTTTTTTATTTTTTTTATTAAAGCTTGATTCCACACCGTATTTTTTGGTACAGGTATGGAATTTTCAGCATGTAATATCGGTAGCCCAAATTTTGCAGGCCAACCATAGATATCAGGTGTGCGTCGGCAGGGGATCGAACCCCGGACCATGTGCATGGTCGGCGAGAGTCCTAACCACTGTGCCACCGACGCACGTGGTACTCAATGGCACAAAGATAGAGATTTTATAAGGTTAAAATTGCTACTGAGTGAGAAGAAAGATGGTAGTTGAGTGTCAATTTAACAAGTGTGAAGAGCGTGTGAAAATGGACAAAAGGAATATATGAGAGTGATAATAGTGAATTAATTATTAAAGCAAAAGCAGACTAAAAGTAAAATTAAAAACTAAAAACGGAAAAGAAAAAATCAAAATTTTTACAGGGAACGACTAGTGAAGAGGTTAAGACCAAGGTAAAATAAGAGACCGGACAAACGTTTTCTGTACACAGAGTTCGGGGTTGTATTGACGAATTACGAACGCCTCCGCCATACACAAATGCAAAAACCTGACGCCCTCTGTACCATTTAGCCTCACCTTGTAGATAATCTTGAAAGACGCCCTATTCAGGTAGGTAGTCACCTGGGGTTCTAGTGAGAAGTCGTGACCAGTAGGGTGCAGCAGGTCGGGCGTGAGGACAAATACTCGCCGAAGACATTGGCTAGGGGTCGCGCTATGTCGTGAATTGGCAGAAGTTAGAATTCATAGACCATTGGATCGGGTCCCAGTGGCTTAATGGTATACGAGCTTGCCTTGTAACCAGAAGGTCCTGGGTTCGAATCCCGGTGGGTGCGTACTGATGAAGAGTCCCAAACTAGGACGAAACAGCTGTCCACTACTCCCAGGTTTTCCAATGGTTCTCTAACTAATGTCAGCTCATGATGAAAATCCTGTAATCTTGAAAGACAACTATGATGGAGCTGCCTGGCCTGAGTTCACCAAGTGCTCGAGAATTGAGCTAGCAATTGTCTAGCATTATCCCTTTGCTAACCATGCCGGATAATGTTCAGAGACGCGTTTGGAAAGTGTGGCCAATATAACTAACTCCGTACGAGCAGGTGAATTTATAAACACACATTGAGGTGGCCCAAAGCGGCAGTTTATACTTCACACATCCGTTGATCATTTGTCAGCTGTAGAAATTGATATGTAGCTCAGCCATAAAGAAGGCTTTCCTCAGTAATCTGCATAAGCAATTCTTCAGGATCTCAGCTGCAGTATCGCCTTTACATTCAACGCTCATAAATAGTAGTTTCTTTGGCACCGTCTGGGTTCTTTCAGACTTTTCCCTTAACTTCATATGTTTCTCGATAAATTTTGGGGGATATCCATTCTCTATGAGGACTTGCCTTCTGAAGAAGGATAACGACTGAATTTGCTTTTGTCATCAAGAATAGATGGCATTTTGAATTTGTAGTCACTTTTGTTCATATTTTATTTTATTTCATTTTATTTTAGTACCTACCCCATTAAAACTTTATAAACTGCATAATTTGTTATCTAAAATTTACAATTCTAATGAAACATCTTCGAGGATATTCCTTTTGTTGCTAAGAAAATTTACCATACATAGTACGATTGTAGGTCGTAGTGCGTCGATGGCATAGCGGTTAGGACGCTCGCCAACCATGCACATGGTCTGGGGTTCGATCCCCGGCCACAGACGCACTCCTTTACCTCGCTAAGCCAGAAATAATGCTGGCGGAGAGGAAAGGTTGGGCATGAGGCTAGCGATCCCATTGTGTAAAATAAGCACTGCTACAGAAATATCAAGCCACTAGCTTGAAGCCCTATGTTCTACTGAGGAACGTAAAGGAATAAAAACAGTACGATTGTTCAGCCTAAGATTGATATCATAGAAAAGAGTCTCTCTGTCTGTCTACTTTCGATATAAAACTTTGCACATATGTGTGGCAGTTCAAATCGCCACACTCCATGTAGCACACAAAGCAACAGAAGAAAGTAGGAGAAATGCATAATAATATAGACAGTGAACAGAGGTGTGAGACAAAGGAATAGTAATAACGAAGAAGAAAACAGTTTCATTGGAAATCATAAGTCACAAGGAGTGAATGCATCTGTGCCATTGAGAAAGATTTTTAGCCATGTCACCTATTGTTTCCAACCATTGGGTTTTACCGTCCCGAGGACCCCAACCAGGAAGTCTACATCTTCCTACGTGCCTTAGACTAACTGTTGTGGATTTCATTGACTGGTGCCATGTTTTCGTTTGACTGTCGCTAGTTCCTTTCCATTCTGACCCTATGCCAGTCAGCTAACATTGCCCGTCGAGGAAGGCGATGACTGGGCATACGTAACACATGTCCTAACCATCTCAGTAGATGTAATTTCACAGCCTCGTCGATTGATTTCCCCGCCTTACCTAGAACTCGATGCCTAACCTCAAATATTGCTCACCTTATTATGCCACTTCACGCAGGAGATAGAACGCAGACACCTATGATCGAAGACAGGTAATCTTTTCACGTCTTCTGCTCTCAATGGTCAGGTCTCACAACCATAAAGGAGGATGGAGTGGACTGTTGAGCAGTACACACGCCCTTTGATCGATAGTCGGATATCACGTCTACTTAGCCAGAGACGGCGTAAACTGGCATATGTGAAACTAGCCCTCTGTATTTGTGCTGAGATTTCGTCGAAGATCAACCCGTTGGGCCTGATGTTACTTCCCAAATAAGTGAAACGGTCAACGTGCTCTACCACTTCACTTCCTATTTCTATTCTAGGGGTCGGTGTAGTCCAATCCTGTAGCATCATCTTACATTTTACAGGGGCGAATCGCATGCCAAACATACGAAGATTGTTGCTCAAGGTGTTCAGTAGATTCTGCATTTTGTCAGCGTCCTCGCCTAGAAGGACAATATCGTCGGCATATTCTAAGTCAACGAGATTCTTCCCTGGTAGCAAGTCAATCCCTGAGTCTCTGAAGTGTGTTACGGTTAAGTCCATTAGTATATCTATGATGAAGTTGAATACAAATGGAGAGAATGGGCATCCTTGACGGACGCCACTAGTCGTCACCACTTCAGATGACAACTCGCCATAAGCCCTCACCTGGCTGCATGAGTACGAGTAGAGTGCCTTAATCATTGCAATGTATTTTCTCGGCATTCCCTTTACAGCCAAGCATCGCCAGAGAACCTCCCGGTCGACAGAATCGAATGCCGCCTTTAGGTCAAGAAATATAATGATTGCCGGACGCCGGTAGGAATGCCTATGTTCTAGAATCTGTCGAAGGGTGAAGATATGATCAATACACCCTCTTCCCGGCCTAAAACCTGCCTGGTTTTCTCGTGTTTGTGCCTCCCGAGCACCACTTAGTCTACGCATGATTATTGAGCCTAGGACTTTAGATACTATATTAGTCAAGCTAATCCCTCTGTGATTATCACAAGAAGACTTGTCTCCCTTCTTGTATATCGGGATGAGTAACCCTTCACTGAATGCCTTTCCTTCTAAATAAGCTAAAATATAAGCGGAGGTTAGGTTAAATAACAGAATACAATAATACATATTTCTAGCATGAGCAACTGATTCATGATAGTTGATCCAGCTATATAATCAGATCAGTTTTAATATTCGTTGAATATTATGAAACAACTGATTAGACATTTAATACTGAGTACCAACACATATGTGAGAAAAAAAATTCACTTTACAATTATTTCCTTAGCTTTAAAAATCCAGATCTCAGCATAGCACCGAATTCTTCACAGTTGACATCTTGACGATCATTCATTCGAACTGAATCCAATAGAAAGCATGCTTCCTCTTTAGAAACTGGACCAACTGTCTTTGACATACGAAATGCTATCTCTTCAGGATTTAAACGTCCATCACCATTTCGATCAATAGTTCTGCAAACAAAAAGAGAAACAAAAGTCTATTTCAACACTTTAACAAAGTTGAATTTTTTTTAAAACTTGAGACTTTGATTTTTAATGCATTACTGTAGAGACTTGAGTCACAAAATATGTTTCCAACAGGTCACTTCAGATTTCCATCAACACCTCCATTTGCTGCCTGGATACTGAAGACTAAGAACACGCTGAGGGATAAGCAGTACGGCGAATTAGATAACAACCAGTTGCTTACCAACTGTGCAGAAATAAATGGGGATATCATATTGGCTTCGTTATTAGATGTATCACACAGTGAAACAGTATTATTATTTACTGGATGACACATTTTCGAACAAAATTTATTGCTGTTCATAATCATATCAGCTATAATCACACGACTTCGAAACTTCAGTTTTATAGTTTTCTTTGTTCTCTCCTTTTTGTCGTCGTAGGAGTAGTAGAATTTTCCCGATATCCGGGTGGACAGGTGTTAAATCATTCCTATTACACGTATTTGCAGTCGATTCGATAAACAAAGCTTCCATTATCACTCTCTCCCTTCAATCTGCTCTTAAATTAGATTTTAAAACTGTCATCTTATCCCACCCCATCCTATTGTATGGTTGTGTGTAATTGCATGCGATGAATGCTAAAGCTGAACTATTCTCTAGATTTCTTATCTTATTCTGGTCATCTAATGTAGATTTTGCTAGGTTGTTATGCTCGGCTAGTCTGACTCACTGACCCTGTTCCACTACCTTGACCTATGTATTTGACCTGACAATCATTGCAGGCAGGGTATGAGATAAACTAAATTGTTTTGTTTTAAAGGCTCCACAGGATTGATCCTTTAACCGACAAAGCTTGTTTCTAATTGAGTTTTTTGGTTTATATGCCACTTTTATTCCTGCCTTGTTAAGAATTCTGAGTAAGGTTTCCGAGGTTCTCTCTTTGTGTGGAATTACTACAGATGATTTAGATTGTTTGTTGTTGTCGTTATCTTGCGAATGTTTGACATGCATATCGTCATTATTATTACTATTATTATTATTGTTAATATTATTATCACTATCACTACTATCATTATTTATTTCATTTTTACATCTCCCTACACACTTTCTGACTAATTTATTAGAGGAAAGAAAAGCCATTATCATTGGCCTCTACGCATGCCATTTACAACCCTTCTCATTATCCACATTGTAACGATAACCACAGAAAATTTCCGCAACAGTTTTTAGATTACTCAAGACTAGATAAACTAAATTGTTTTGTTCATCCAATACCCTGCAATGATTATCAGGTCAAACTTTTAGAACAGGGTCAGTGAGTCAGACTAGCCGAGCATAACAACCTAGCAAAATCTACATTAGATGACCAGAATAAGATAAGAAATCTAGAGAATAGTTCAGCTTTAGCATTCATCGCATGCAATTACACACAACCATACAATAGGATGGGGTGGGATAAGATGACAGTTTTAAAATCTAATTTAAGAGCAGATTGAAGGGAGAGAGTGATAATGGAAGCTTTGTTTATCGAATCGACTGCAAATACGTGTAATAGGAATGATTTAACACCTGTCCACCCGGATATCGGGAAAATTCTACTACTCCTACGACGACAAAAAGGAGAGAACAAAGAAAACTATAAAACTGAAGTTTCGAAGTCGTGTGATTATAGCTGATATGATTATGAACAGCAATAAATTTTGTTCGAAAATGTGTCATCCAGTAAATAATAATACTGTTTCACTGTGTGATACATCTAATAAACAAACTAATATGGAATTACTTACTATCACAGTACCCAAGTTTTACGCACATATGGAAATGGAGATGGATTGAAAGTACACAGAGAAGATCTACAAGTGAATCCACAAGCCATTTAGACCCACTAGTAGAGATGGAGGAGACCGTTTGAGGAGGAAAGAAAAGCCTGAGAGTAGAGATGTGGAACTATTTGAAAGTGACGATAGAGAATTGAATGCATTAGAAGAAACATGTCAATGATGCATTTTGCTCCACTAGGAACTGCATGAATGAACAATCCGTCTTTCTCAAAAATTCCACTTACATGAACTTTTACTAGTTAAGTATTACTACACCATACTATCTGGGTTTCAGATACAACCAATTTTTAATAGGATTAAAATTAGAATTCCATGGAATCATAAAACCTTGGAAATGAATTCTGCGCCTTATGATTAGAACTGACTTCAAAATATCATCCATCTTACTATTCACCTGACTACTTATTAAAGTAAAATTACGGTGATATGTGTGCTTATTTCTAGCCAGTTTAGTACACAAAGATCAAGTGACATGTTTCTGTGGAATGATGCCCCAATATCAGTGACCATCAACTAACTAAACATTAATGTGGATCCATATTAATTTATTTATTAGATGGATATATTACACAGTGAGTGAAACAGTATTATTTACTCAGTGACAATTGACGTAGAACACAATTTATTATTGCTCACAATCATGCCGTCAATTATACCTACACAAATTCATAAGTTGAGTTTTATAATTCTCTTTATTCGTTCCTTTCCGTCGTAGACGTAGTAGAATTCTCCAGATGTCTGGATGGACAGGTGTTGATTCTATAAATAAGCATGCCATTATCAACGTTTCTCTTCACATTGTTGTATTAGATTTTAAGACTGTCATGTGATCTCATCCTGCTGCATGTAATGCATGTACTTGCATGTAATGGTGCTATAGCTGAACTATTCTCTAGATTTCGTATCTTGTTAGAGTGTTATTATCTAGATTTTGCTAGAGTTTTGTGCTCCACTAGTCTGACTGACCCAGTTCTACTACTTTGAACTATGCATTTTACCTGACTATTATTTCAGAGTATTAGATCATTTAACTGGAAACTGTTTTTCTAGGTTAGTCTGTGATTCTGAAAAAGTTAAACAGTAGCGAAGAAAATCCAAAACGGGAAGTGATTTGTGCAAGAGAAGCTTTATAACTTAATAATTACCCTGACAAATCAATCAGAAATTGTGTACGAAAATGTAAGAATAAAATTAATAGTAATAATAATAATGGTAGTAATACTGCTAGTTGTAATAATATTACAAACCACATCTATGATAGACATGCACACAAAGATGGCAACACCAGCAATAAGGAACTTAAATCATCAGAAGTACTTCCATGCAGAGAAGCTATCTCGGAAACCTTATGTGGAATTATCAACAATGCAGGAATGAAAGTGCCATTTAAACCCGCTAACTCAATTAGAGACAAACTTTGTTAGTTAAAGGATCCTGTGGAGCTAAATGGACAAAACAATTCAATTTATATAAAACCCTTTTAATAACTGTCAGGTGAAAGCAGTAGAACGGGGTCAGTCAGATCACTGGAGCACAAAACTCTAGTGAAATCTGAGTTAGCCCACCCTAACAAAATAGGAAATCTAGAGAATATTTAGCTATAAGAGCACTACATGCAATCACACACAACCATGCTATACAAGATGGGATAAGATGAAGACAGTTATAAAATATAATATAATATCAGGATGGAAGGAGAGACAGGTGACAGAAGCTTTATTCATCGAATCGACTGAAAATAGGTGTGATAGAAATGATCCACTGCCTGGCCACCAGGACATCTGGAAAATTCTATTACCAGTACAACTAGTAGCAAGGAACTCTGAAAGAGGAGTTTCGAAGTTGTGTAGTTACAACTGACGATATGCTTATGAACAATAATAAGTTGTGTTCGACATTAATTGTCATCGAGTAAGTAATACTGTTTCACTCACTGTGTAATATGTCCATCTAATAAACAAATTAATATGGAATTACGTACTACGACATTGCCCAAGTTTTTCACATGCATAATAACGTGACCGTTTACTTTTATGTAGCTGTGAATCACATTGATTTGCATTTCCTCACAGATCATAAGTTCTTATTTCTATACATTTTCGTATTGCTGAAATTTAGACATTCAAGTAAGTGGAAGGCAATATTACTACACATCCGGTACCAACTGATTTTAAGTTTTCTAGTCAGAAAAATAACTCTGATGCATAAAACTTGTTCTATGAGAAATTTTCAAGCGTGAGAACAGTCGTCACAAGAATATCAATTTCCGTAGGTAACAGAAATCGTCAATGATCAAGAAATATGCAGGCTGGAAAAAGAATCAGAACGGCAAGTATCCTCCTTTAAAGCACAGACTGCATCATCATTCTGAACCTGGAAATTCAACGCCATGGGGAAACAACAGTGTAAAAACTGTGGGAAATATAAGTTTGAGAGAACAAAGCAATCTGACGTCACAATCATAATAAAAACTATTCTTTTGTGACTCGATTCGTTTAATCCTCAAAAGCCTCATTTAGTGTCTTCTGATATTAGATACGTTTTGCTGTAATTTTTTAATTCTTTTTTGATTATAGCTTGATTTCACACCGTATTTTTGGTACAAATATGGAATTTTCAGCATGTGATATTGGTAGCCCAAATTCTGCAGGCCGACAATTGATATCGGGTGTGCGTCGGCAGGGGATCGAAGCCCGGACCATGTGTATGGTCGGCGAGAGTCCTAACCGCTGTGCCACCGACCCTGTCTGCACAAAGAAAGCATCTCTACCCAACCTGGACTGGCGGTGAGTGATTTCATGAGTTGGTGCCTTGATGTAACAACTACTCTTCTATTCACATTCATTGCAGCTTACACCTGTATGACATACCGGAAGTAGCAATACGTTTCACATATCACATCAATCACAGTCGATAAACTGAACATTCTCATGCTATCATTAATAAGGTCACTCCTTTGTTTACTGATCTTTTCCGAATCAAACCAAATGTCTTCAAGACTATAAATTCATAAGCGACACAGAAGACCAGTAAAGGTAGTTTAACGTTTATCCGGTCACACCGATTAATATATGTTTTTATGCATTAAAATCTTGCTTTTTAGTTTGTTTTAGGTGTTTTGTCAGAAACGTAAGAGCAGCAGTTGTAAGTTATCCTGTGAAAGTGCAAATCGATGGTCTTCCTATTCATTCAGTTAGATTAAATCCTATTGCTTTGCTATGTAATGCAATTTTTCTCAAGCGGCCATCACCTGGCTACACTACTAAAAACTGGGTCAAAAAGCACAAGTTCAGTTTGTTCTAACATAAAAACTCAATGGAAATAAGAAGTATCAGTAAGCTGAAATCAGTGAAAAGGATAAAGATCAAGGTAGTAGAAAACAGGAAAATGAGTATGAATATTAAGCTACGATAGATAATCCAGTTATTGACTTAATAAAGTGCAAGATTGCATCTTTGACTAGTCATCCTCAAAATATACATGCACGATGGTTGAATCCCCTTTCATTATAAATGTGAGTTTTTCATCTTGTAAGAAACAGTTGCAAAACCTTGATTAACGCCATTGTAGGAAGTTCCATCTTCAAATACGTAACCACCATAAGAAACGAAAGACCACCCTGTTTGTTGCTTTTATTACTGAAGACTACAGCATCAACGAAACACCCAACTGACTGTTCATGCCCTGGAAGCGTATCATACTAAACTACTTAATAGCCAAATATGCAAACTTCTACAGCCAGAAGCTTCTTGAAATCGCCTTTTAGATTAGATAATGATGCCTCGGATATATCAGACTCCATTTAAAATAAAAAGATTACTGTCCCTTGTTCTGTGATGTGCCCGAAGGTTGTGCCTCAAAAATTCTGCAGTGTACCCGAGGAAAATGCTAGCTGGGTCAATCAGTGATTATAGGCTTTAAATACAGGAAGTGTTAAAATGAATGAAGTAACAAGCAAACCCAGTCAAGAATATTTCTGCAATGTTCTATCTATTTTCCTTAAAGCTTGACTACTGGCCATTTTTGTTCATTCTTAATCCCTATCCTTTTGAATTACCAATCGTTTCCTTCATTTCACACCTCTGTACGTATTGCAGTCAGTTTCCAGTCTACGAAGGATATCAAATGATCATTTTTAAATAGTACGAAATAGTATGTGTGTCAGTGGCATAGTGGTTAGGACGCTAGCCGACCATGCGCATGGTCCTGGGTTCGATCCCGGCCAACGCACCCCTTTACCTCGCTAAGCCAGAAATAATGCTGGTGGAGAGGAAAGGTTGGGCATGAGGCTAGCAACCCCATTGTGTAAAATAAGCACTGCTACAGAAACATCAAGCCACTAGCTTGAAGCCCTATGTTCCACTGGGAACGTGAAGGAAATAAAAAAGAACGAAATGGTACAAAGCGAAAAAATTGTTACTTTTTGTCACAAACGGAGAAATTAACTTGTGTTGCCATGCGTAGTAAATTGTACTAGACATCTCTGAAATACATTATGTGAATATCCCTTAAAGACGACTTATTTTAACACACATAACTGGACTTTCAGTGCTTAAGCACACATTCTAATTAGTATGTGTATGAGGTTTGAAAACTTAAGTAATCCCCTCTTTGCACTACTTTCTCATGCTAGTCCCCTTATTATACTTTAACAACATACTCGGATGTACATTTACCCGTTCAAATTTTAACGTGTAAATATATATATGTTAACGTATATATCCCGAAAATATAATTGGTTTATTCGATAGATTTTTCCAAGAGAACTGCAAAAAAGTATATTAACATGCCTAATAGTGGTGTATTTACTGGGATAAAAATAATTTTAGTAATTTCACTGTCGAAAACCAACCGAAATAGTGTTTTCAGTTCTTGGCTACCGTCAGGATTTTCCAAAGCTCGTCCGAGAAGTTCAATGAATAACGGCAGTCCTATGAAGTCGTTGGAATCGGATAAAGTCCTTATGGTGACCTATTATGGGCAATTATTATAGGTAGACTGATTATATTTATCTACTGCAATACTATCTTTATTTACGCCTATTCCAAGAGTCATGAACAAAGCAGATACATCTTCAACATCTAAAATTCCATCTCCATTTCTGTCAATATACATGAAGGCTTGAGAAAGCTCGCTATAAAGTGTGTCTGACAGACCGCCTTCTCCCGACATTTCATATCTGTAGGTAAATAATCACCATAGTTACCAAGGCTTAGTATCTAATATTCAATATTCTTTTAACATGCTCGTATGAACCTCATGACTTCGTGATACTCGCTTCTTGTTATTCCAGAGTGTTTCTTAGTTTGTGGAGGATTTCAGCACATACCACTACCTCAACTACTGCAGCTTTTGTTAATACATTAGTACAATATCCAATATCCTGATTACGAGGTAGTATAAACCAGTGGTTTCTTTGAGCTCGCTCCTTGATTGTAAGGTAGAGGTTCCAGATCTTCGGTGAACTTATGCGTAGTAAGTCCTGCCGCTCGACTGCTTTAGCTCTGGTAGACTCCAAGAGGAGTGGTGCGAGGATTGGTCAAGATGTGGTTTGTAGTGTGCTTGTAGTACCCCTATATCAACTATAAACGTACGTTTTTAATCTAATTTGCATACTCATATTATATGTTTACACATACCGATTTTATATGTACTTCGTAAACATTTGTCAATTTACCGTTGAACGTTACCTTGATACAATTTTGAAATTTGACTACTGCTATAATACACGATTACACTCTTCACAAGTGCCTTCTGATTTTACGTTGTGGGCGTCGGGTAGCCACAACGTCTGCGCACATTGATAAACGTGAAGAAGTACTAGGAAATACGTGTACGCTAATTTAGTCAAATAGAACACGCAACATGCTGTATGTTAGGACTGAGTTGCTGCTGTGAATGGAGTTTGACCTAACACCCGTTGGTCATTCGGTGTAGTCATAAAAGCAGAATAGTAATAATAATAGGTTGTAGTGTAGATAACATAGGTTGAGATAAGTGAAATAATAAAGGTGACCTAAGGAAAAGATAGAATAGTCAGTACAGTGAAGGAATTAGCTTGTATGCTTATCCATTGACAGTGCGGTTTCAAATTTTAAGAGGATAAGCCATTGAGACACAAACCATGCATTTCTGCATTATTATCCAGCTTCCGCTTAAAAGTCTCCACAGATGGCGCTGTAGTCACGGCCGCCGGTAAAGCGTTCCAGAGACGGCAAACTCGAAGCGAGAAGAAATGTGAACGCACTCGAGTCTTTGGTCTCTGGTGTGCTATCCTTAGCGGGTTACCTCGTGGAAGCCTATAATCACTTAATGGCAGGATGCTTTTATTAGGGTGGGCCTGGTCATTTAAGATCTTATAGACGGTGATGAGATCTCCCCTGTGACTATGGTAACTAAGTGTGAAAAGCCTTAATTTCTTCAGTCTTTCCTCATATGATTTGTTGTGGAGGCTGATCACCCGTTTTGTCGCTCGTCTCTGGACACTTTCTAGAATGTTAGCATCCCTTTTGAGTAGTGGAGGAGCAATGATAGTATGCGCCTCAAGGAGTGGCTTCACGTATGTCGTGTACAACCTAAGGAATAGTTCAGGAGTAAGAGCTCCCAACTGCCTATGCATAAAGTGTAAAGTTGCGTAAGCTTTGGCGACGTCCCTCGTGTAATTTACACTGGTGTCTAGCTTTTCTGTTAAAATAAGACCTAGATCGCGTTCTGATGGCACACAACTCAAGTTCTGGCCACCAAGGGTGTAATTTACACTCTGTGACATGCCAGAATGAAGTTGCACTACTTTGCACTTCTTTAGGTCGAAAGGCATTCCGTTAGCCAGAACCCAGTCCCCCAGAGTTTGCAGGTCAGCCTGCAATCTGTCTGAGTCTTCCGATGAGTTTATTGCTCTCCAAATCTTTACGTCGTCAGCGTAAAGAAGCGCGGAGCAGTTCAGTTGACAGGGCAGGTCGTTGATAAAAATCAAAAACATCAGCGGCCCTAAGATAGAACCCTAAGGGACCCTCGATGCCGAGGTGTGCCAGGATGATCGGATGCGGTTGGCTTTGGTGCAGAATTCTCTCTCGCCTAAGTAATCTTTCAGCCATGCGAGAAGTGCTCCAGAAACGCCCGCCTTGCTTATTTTGTGAAGGAGCAGACCATGGTGAAGTGTGCAGGATGCTTTCGCAAAGTCGGGAAAGATCACATGGACTGGTACCTTTACGTCCCAGGATAGTGTCCAATCGTTCCAAGCTAGTAGAATATTCCTCACACAGGATCTTCCCCTCCTGAAACCGTGCTGTGCTTCATGGAGTAGGTTAGCCCCGTCGAAGTATTTTCTCATGTGGTCGTCAATGAGACTTTCCAATATCTTCGATATCACTGGAAGTAGCGCAACTGGTCTGTAACTGGTCGCATTCTGCCGGTCACCACCCTTGAAGATAGGGGGTGGGATGGCTCGTTTCCATTCACATGGAAGTTTCCCTACATCAAAGGAATGTTGAAACAGATCGCTTAAGGGGTTGGCAGAGACTTTCTGAACACTGCTTCAGGACGGATGGTCTGGTGTCATCACAACCTGAAGACTCTCCCGAAGTCAATTTTCCCAATTTTACGAGTACCATAGCCGAGGTAATTTGAAATGTACGCACGTTGGTTTTGCATTGTAATCTTGATGTTTTGTGGGGGTAAAATCCTCGTTACTGTTTAGTTGCCTGTGAAGGTCTAGACTTAATGTCTCTGCCATTTCAAGACTAGTAAGAGATTTCCCATCAGAAGCCACTAGTTTGCAAGCTCCCTGGTTGGTCAGTTTTCTTTCAGACATGAACCTGTATGGGCTTTTGGGGTTCACGAGAAGCTTATTGGCGAGGTTTCTCTGAGATGTCCTTCTATCACTCCGGACTCGTATGTTACATCGATTCCTGAGTTCAAGGTACACTTCATGTTCGGGTTGACTCTTCGATAGCCACGACTCAAACCAGGCTTTTCGCTTCGCCTGCAGAAGGCGTTGTGTCCCCCTTTTAGCCATGAACGTTGCTTCCTAGCTTTTGGTGTGACTAAAGGAACAGCGTCTGAGACCACCTGGTGAATGATCTCCTTTTTCCTCTCTAACCGGAAAAAACTATTTTGTGAATTATCCGCTCCGGAAACGTGATCTCCCTAGCCGGTGAATTAAATCCAACCATTACTTACATATTGAATCTCTGTGTAGTAAGTCCAGCTGTCTCGAACTACTGCCAAAGCTTCAGGTGCTATTTTTGTTGCAGCATCTTCCTCACTCGCTCAGGTAAACAAGACTTGTTGGTCTACCACGTGATTGCTGTGAAGCCGATCACCCAGAAAGTACTAGGTAAAGTCGAAAACCTTTTCTTTTCCTTGTCTTGTACTTTTTCAGTCTTATTCTTGTTCTTGTGGGTAGATACTGTTGTACTCTTATTCTTATACAGCATAAGTCTTAGTGATGGTTAATATGGCTGTCGAAAGTAACCTTAGAAATGGCACTAAAACGCCTTACTCTGTAGTCACGAGAGCTTCAGCCAGAGAAGGCGAAAACCCAGGGACACCAACCCCAAGTCGCACACCCATCCTAAAGACTCGTGTAGGACTCGTCTGTCCTGATACTATGCCTGCATTGCCACTGTCTAGTGCTGAAACGGCACAGGCAATACTAGGGGGACAGGATACTACACCTGCATCAACTGAAAGCCAATGTGTGAAGCACAGCAAACCTAAAAGGAAACGCTCAAGACGTCATAAGACCTCGAAGGCGTCACCAAATAAGGGAGACGAATGCCAGGCGTGCAATATCATAGTTTCTAAAGCTGACTCAGCGTTTGAATGCAATTTTTGCAAACGATGGGTGCACTGCCGCTGTGACAAAGTGGCGCCAAAAGCATACTACGAGTTTATGAGAAATAACCCGTGCCCCTGGTTTTGGTACATCTGTCCACTTTGTCGCCCTGGCATAGTCCCACAGAGCGTGTCTGTGGATAGCAGAAACAACAAGTCACTCTTGTGTCCCAACAAAGTCTTGTGCAGCTCCCCACCTGCTAACATCACTCTGCCAAAACTTGGATCAGACAGTAAGAAGGACACTCCAGTCCTACTGACTGAAAATGCCAATTTTCACAAAGTGAAGATGCAAAAGGTTGGAACCACAATTTCAAAGGAAGAGAGAATTAGAAAAGTACCACTTTCATCCACAAGCAAGCTCGGCAACACAACAAAGGCTGGCCAAAACCCCATCAAGCCTTAAGTTGCTGATGCTGCAAAGGAATACAGGAAGCCAAAGGCAAACCTATGTCTGAGGTTAATCGGTCTAATTCTCTCATCATCTTTAACGTACCTGTGAGTAAGGACAGCTTGCTTGAACAGCGGGCCCTGTTCGATCAGGAGCAGTGGTCCAACCTGTGCAATAAATTAGGTCTGAACATTAGTCCAGTGAAATTGTGCAGGCTGTACAGGGGTGTCCACACACCTCAAGGTAAGCCACCCCCATTACGGGTTACACTGGACTCTGCCAAAGAGGCCAAAAAGGTACTATTGATGGCTCAGGTACTAGCCATCGACAGAAGCTTGAACATAAGGGTGAGACAAGACAGACCATGGGCTATCAGACAGATGGCGAGGGAGTCACCGGAACTTTTGCCTTCTACCTCTATGGTGGTATACGGTGTTCCGGAGCTGGAAACGGGCACTGCCTGTGAAAAACACATGCATGACATACAGCAGTGGAGATGGCTGTCATCTAAGATGGCTCTTGGCGCTTCTGGATCAGTCTCCATTTTTCGACTACCTCCCTCTACTCATCTCACACTGATTAGCTCCCAAAAGCTGCTAAGTGTCACATTCAACGCCCCAGAGCAGTTGGCCATAGCACCTCAACAGTGGTATGAAATCAAGGGGAAATTAAGAAGACACATCCAATGCTGCGAAAGCAGACCTCGAACCATAAGGAGGCAGTAAACTGAGGCTTTAATACGTCCCCAAGCTTCAGTGACACTAGAGCGATGCAGTTCTGAGAATAACAGTCTGTGCCACTCAAGTGTCCTGCCCAAATCCAAGGGAAAAAACCACAACAGGCCGGTTCCATCGGAACTGGCCAACTAGTCCCAACATTAAGTCCCCTACCAGCAAACAGCTTCACGTCAACTACCCCACAACACGCTGAGGTTGTAAGACTCACT